CCAAGGCTATCCAACAGGGCGTGGCTCAGTGCCTCCAACAGGGCTCTCTTCCATCTATCCCTGATTTCACAGCACATCAAAGTCTCCAACATGCATCTCAGCACCTCAAGGATTCCATGTCAGATCAGGAACCGGCTGAATCTCCAGTTCATTCTAATCAGGGCTCCATTTCAGAGCAGGAAGGGACCAGAGATCTGGTCCTATCAGACGATGAGGGCCTGGCTCCCGGCAGCCCTCCTTCATCGGCCTTTTCCGACCCCAGGTTTTCAGGTCCCTTCTGTTCAAAGCACTCTCTACCATGCGCCTCGGCGGTGTACCATCGACCAGCAACTCCACCTCGACTGCAAGTGACCCAGCCTCCTCGCTATTCGCTGAGCCTGCTGTAGAACCGGAGACCATTCCTGCTCCCAAACTTTTTCAGATGTTATTCAGAGGCAATGTTCTCTCCCAGGTTCAGGGCCCAGTCCTAATGGATTGGACAAACGCCTCTATCATTCTGTTTCCGATCTTTCAACTCTCTTGCAAATACCTACAGTGGATGCCCCTATCGTTGCTCTTTCAACTTCCTACTACCTCACGGGGCCTCCAGAGGATTCTTTTCACCCAGAAGATAAGTGGGCGGAAAAGGTTTTAGTCAAGGACCACCAAGCAGTGGCCTGGGACATCAAGGCCGCGACATCAGCATCTTTCTTCAATAGGGCCTCTTTTCTATGGCTTAAACAGCTACAGGATAGACTCCCTCCATCGGACATGAAATCTCATCAGGACCTCAGTAAGATTGAGGCTGCCTTGGAATTTTCGGCTGACACTACTCTAAATGCTGTCAGGTTCGCTGCAAAATCCATTGGGTCCACTATCACATCTTGCCAACTCTTGTGGCTCAGGAATTGGCAGGCAGATGCCAGGAGTAAATGGCAGCTGGCTTCTACACCCTATGCTGCTAATAGCCTATTCGGTCCATCGCTGGATCCCATCCTGATCGAGACGAGAGACAGATGCAAGGTTATGCCTTCAGTTTCCCGGAGAGGTGACTCTCACTACACATCTTATTCTTGTTCACAGTCCTTTTGGAGTTTTGACAGCAGCTTCTACTAGTCCTGCTATCAACGATCATTCCAGCCCAGATCTCACCAACCGGATAACCAGGTCAGACAGGGAGGCAAGTTCCAATCCAGGTGCTCTTTTCGGGGAGGGAGGGGTCGACCCTTCTGCAGGTCCAAGTAGCTCCCTCCCAGAATCTCCCATTGGGGATCGTCTGGCCTTGTTTGCCAGCCAATGGGAGTCTTCAACAATGGATGCATGGGAGGAAGACGGAGCTGACGTCGCGATGAGACAACGGACGATCTCGGTACTCCGAGATCACTGTCGATATTTCTGCTGCTGGACGGTCCAGTTTGGACCTCACTGTCCCGTAGAGACAGTGATAGAAGAGGGCACATCCTGCCGATCCCAGGGACACCACAAAGTCCCTGGTTGATCCAGGAGAAGCCCTTTTTTCCGGCGGTGAAGAGGCAGCCATTAAGCTGCTGAAGTTGGGACAGTTCCGGAACAAAAGAGAATGTGTGAAAGTGTGTCAGCTTGGTGAGAGATTTTTAAAATAGACTAATTAAGAACACCCTGGGGTGAAAAGATAATTAAAATTGAAGATAGAAGAAGTTAAGCGGCGGAATTGAACCTGAGTCTAAGTTAGTTTTTTCTACATTGCAACTTATTTTTATTTGTGGATGCCTATGGAGGATTTTATTTTTAAAGTTTGACTGGATTGGATTGGATTGGAGATTTCCTTTTTATCTGTTTAATTGTTAAATTTCTACTGCCTTTTTAGTTTTATATTATTTTGGTTTAGTCTTATTTTTCTTTTCTCTACCTTTTTATTTTTTTATTTTGTTTTATCGTCTGTTGGACATAGAGGGAAAGTGGAATGAACAAGAAACACTGCCATCTAGTGGATTGAAACATTGTATTTTTTTCATTGGCAAAAGAAAGTAGCAACTGTGTTACATTTCAAGGACTCTGAGCTTGCTCATAGATAAGATAGTTAGAAGAGCATCAAAGACTGTCTGCAGGATTGTTTACTCAGGTGCTCTTCTGAGAAACTATTACTGACAGGCGGCTGAGACTTGAAAGAAGAAGATTGCAGTGACTCTGGAAAGAGAGCTGTAAAAACTTGGTGAGACTTATAAAAGAACTTTTGGATACTACACAGTTGTGGATTCTTTTTTTAGATAGAAAGTCTTTTTTTATTTTCCTTTTTTGGGTATTATTTTTCTATTGCTCCACTTCTCCCTCTTTTAATTATTTTTAATTGGATTGTGTTTGCTTTTGGAAGACTTTTAATATTTTTAAATTTTTGATGTTTTTATTCTTTCTTTTTCTCTTTTTTTTCCCTTTCTCCCCCTTTTTGACGGGAGATTATTAATGCGTTCAATATCCCTTTGTTTAATTGGAATAAGGCATACAAGAGCCTGAAGAAATTTTTTTTGGTTTGTTTTTTCTTTTCTTTGATTGGAGATTGCTAATTTGGTTTTTATTCTTTTATTCAATTGGATTAGGGCATACAAGAGCCTGAAGACTTTGCTTTCTTTGGATCTTCCTTTTTCTTATTGTTATTTGGGATAATATCTGTCCTCTATAAAAACGGATTAAGGTATAGAAGAACCTGAAGATTTTTTGACTGTTTGAATATTTTGTAACCATTTTATAGACATGAGTAAAAAGGCAGCAGCTATTAGTTCTTCTACATTGACTCCCTCTTCTTCACCATCGGGAGAACAACTATCAATACAGACAATGTTGCAACAGGAAAAGGAGAGAAGGAAAAGGATGCGACAATGCAGATGATTTTGCAAGGAATACAAAACATACAATCAAAAATAGTGATCATTGAACAGAGAGCAGAAAAGATTGAACAAAGAACAGAAAAAATTGAACAAAGAACAGGAAAAACAGATGAAAAAGTGGAGAACATACAACAAATGATGAAGAAATACGAGGACAGGCTTCAAAAAATTGAGGAAAAGGAAGAACAAAGAGACAAAAAAATTAGAGATATGGATAGCAGATTAGATGAGGTTGAATGTGATAAGAGTGGAATAGGATGGGAGATGGACAAATCGGAATTCTACTTAAGATTTCAAAATATAGATGAAGAAAAGGGAGAAAACTTGGCAGAAAAAATGATAAAATTTTAGCAGAAGCATTAGAAATTACTAAAGAAAAGATGATGGATGGCATAGATGAGATATTTCGAGTTTAGACAAGATATGCAATGAGAAATAAACTACCAAGAGAAGTTCATATAAGATTCACCAAGAAATCAATTAAAATGCAAATATTGCAGATTACAAAAGAGAAAACACTGAAATACAAGGGCAAGGAAATTGTGGTTCTGAAGCAAATACCGAGAAGAGTGAGGGAGATGAGAAGAGAATATCAATTCTTGATGAAAATATTGCTCCAGAAAGGTGTGAACTATAGATGGCTGATACCAGAAGGCCTGATGTTTACATGGCAATTGCAAAGATTTAAAATAGACTCAATTGATAAAGTCAAAGCATTTTATGCTGAATATCTTAGAGAGAAGGAAGTAAAATTAAGAAGGGAAGAGTCACTGGTCGAACTACAAGAGGAATGTCTAGCAAAAGTAATGATAAATGGAGAATTGACAGAATCTATTGAAATACAAAAAGGAACGAGACAAGGTTGTTCACTGTCACCACTGTTGTTCGTGTTAACATTAGAAGTATTAAACAGAAATACTAGAGATAAAAAAGAAATAAAAGGAATGAAAATTCAAAATGAAGAATATAAATTGCAAGCATTCGCTGATAACCTGGTGTTTATTCTTGAAGATCCATTTGAATCAATAAATAAACTGAAAAATAGGAGAATTTGGAAAGGTAGCAGGTTTGAAAATAAATAAAGATAAAACAAAGATTTTGACAAAAATATTAAAAAAACAAAAAGAAGAATTGGTGGATGTATCGAAGATGCAGGTCACGAACAAGGTTAAGTACTTGGGGATATATTTGACAGCAAGATGCAGTACACTCAAGGAGAATAATTACAATAAACTTAAACAATAGTGACAGATTTGGCTAAATGGGAGAATTTGCAATTATCATTGATAGGGAGGATATCAACAATTAAGATGAATATATTGCCTAGAATTTTATATTTGTTCCAGACAATTCCAATCAGGTTGGGAAAAGACTATTTTGAAGAATTGAATAAAATAGTGTGAAAATATATTTGGCAGGGTAAAAAGGCGAGGATAAAATTAAAATTACTGCAAGATGCTAGAATAAGAGGAGGTTTTGGTTTGCCGGATTGGGAACTATATTATCAAGCAACTAATTTGATGTGGCTCAAAGAATGGATTATGTTAAGGAATACTAGATTGTTGACTTTAGAAGGACATGACTAGTTGGGCTGGCATGCTTTCTTATGGTACAAGGGAACAAAAACACAGGGGTATTTTAGAAGACATGTTATTCGAGAGTCTTTGCTATTAAATTGGGAGGAGATTAAAAGACAACATTATTTAAAAATTCCAGTCTGGTTCAATCTACTATTGAAGTATTCTCATATTCAATAACATTTAGAAAGGAACAAATTGTTAGATATAGTGAAATACTGAATGAAAAGGGTGAACTTAAATCAAAGCAAAAACTAGAAGAACAGGATATAAAAATGGACTGGTTTTTGTTTATGCAAATACATTCTAGATATGATAAAGATTCTAAGACAGAAGGTTTTTATAGTAATCTGACTAACTTAGATAAAATTTTAATAGGTTCTGATGACTATGTAATTAAAAAATTGTATGGTTACTTATTAGAGGTAAAATTGGAAGAAGAACAAGTTAAAGAAACGATTGCATGGGGGAAAAATTTTGGTTATGGAATTGATCTAGAGAAATGGCAAAAATTGTGGATGCAAAATTATAAAATGACAATGTCAACAGCATATAAGGAGAATTTATATAAGATGTTTTACAGGTGGCATCTACCCCCGACAAGAATAGCGAGAATGTTCAAGAACAAATCTGAGAAGTGTTGGAAATGTCATCAGATACCGGGCTCATATTACCATATATGGTGGACATATGTAGAAGCGAAAAGATACTGGACTAAAATCCACACATGGTTGGAAAAAATGACAAAAAAACATATAGACTTTAAGCCAGAGATTTTTTTATTAGGGATTGTGCCAGAAATATACAATAGACAATTGAGATATTTGATTGTAAATGTTTTAACAGCTGCTGGGATTGTGTTTGCTAAAAACTGGAAAAATGAGAAAATACCAACGCAAGATGAAATTATTAAGAAAATCATGGAATGTGCTGAAATGAGTAAATTGACATTTGAAATTAGAGAACAAGAAGATAAACAATACTACAAGATACGGGATTTATTTTATCAATGGCTAGATAATAAAAGATGGAAATGAAATATGAAATATGAAATGTTATAAATATAATATTTGAAAATAAAATTTTTGAAGCAACAAAGCCATAGTTAAATAAATGATAAATGAGGATGTTGATTTGTTTGGCAATATGAGAAATTAGATAATTAGTAAATTTTGAATATGGGGATGAAGCACAAAAGATTTGTAACCAACTGACACACTGTTTGTATTTGTAATGGATGATGGGTTTTATGTTTTGTTTTAAAAAATTAAAATTAAAAAAAAAACGGATGCATGGGTCCCGGGAGACGGTCCGTTGGGGCCTCTCCCTGGAGTTCTTCTCCCCTCCCCTGACTGTTTTCCTCACTTGCCCAGTATCCAAAGGCAAAACCAAGCGGGCGCTAGTTACCTCGGCCATTGATCACCTCTTAAATATCAGAGCTATCCAGTGAGTCGCTCAGGACCAGTATGGCCAGAGGTTTTATTCTCGCTTCTTTATCCTGAGGAAATCCTCGGAGAGGTGGGGGTGGAGGGCAATCCTGGACCTTAAAGCTTTGAACTGGTACATTATCTACCGTCGGTTCAAAATGCAATCTCTCCACACGATCCTGGAGTGCATCCGCAGGGGCAATTTCCTTTCATCGGTGGACTTAACGGAGGCATACCTCCATGTCCCATCTTCCCTGCCCACCGCAAATATTTCTGCTTCCATTATCTCGGGGGGCATTATCAATATATGGCTTTGCCATTTGGCCTATCCTCGGCCCCCTGAGTATTTACAAAAATCATGGCTGCCCTAATTGGTCACATTCACACCCTGCCCATTAGGCTCCAATTTTATTTAGATGATATCCTCATTCAACCATCTCGGCGTGGCAGGATTTAGCAACCACCATCCGGGTGCTTCAAGATCATGGTTTCTCGATCAATTGGGCCAAAAGCCACTTGGTTCCTTTCACCCACATCCTCCACCTGGCAGCAGTCATTGACACAGTGACTTCCATAGTCTCACTCTCTCCTGACCGCCAGGCCAGCCTCCGAGTCCTGGCAAACCAATGTATTGCAACCCGCTTGTCCACAGTGCTAGGACTGTCCTGACTCCTCGGTAAAATGGTCTCATCATTCAGCATTGTTCCTTGGTCTCGCCTCCACAGCAGGGAATTGCAGTGGGTCCTCCTACCTCATCAGAAGGCCATGTGCAGCACCTCTATGACCAGGGTGGTTCTACCTCCAGCAGTTCTCACCTCCCTCCAGTGGTGGACATCTGACGCGATTTCAAGGGACTGCTCATTTCGGAAGCCTTTGCATCTGCTCCTCACCACTGACGCTAGCTTCACGGGCTGGGGAGCGCACTTGGAACACTGCATGGTGCAAAGTCAGTGGTCCACACGGGAGAGGCACCACAACATCAACTTTTTGGAGTTACGAGCCATTCGCCTGGCTCTTCTCCATTTCCAGGACATTGGGAGAGGCCAGGATCTCCTCGTCCTCAACAGACAACGTAGCCGCAAAGGCTCGTGTAAACAAACTGGGGGGTACCCACTCAAAGGCCCTTATGCAGGAGGCCTTATGCCTTGGTCTCTGGGCTGAGGCCCATCTCAACTCCCTCAGGGCGGACCACATTTCAGGAGTGGTGAACAGTCAAGCAGATGCTCTCAGCCGCAATTGGGTGGACCACACAGAATGGAGCCTAACAGCCCCTCTCTTCCAGGAGTTGGCATCGAAGTTCAGCCTTCCCTCAGTCGACTTCATCACATCGGCTACCATCCATCAGGTTCCGAGATACTTTTCCAGGTTTCCGGATCCTGGGGCGGAAGCCACGGATGCCCTGCACAGCCCCTGGCCTCCAGGTCTCTACGCCTTCCCTCCCCTCCCATTAATCTCCAGGGTCATCAGGAAACTGTTGGAGGAGGCGGAACTGGTCCTACTGGCTCCTCACTGGCCCAGGAGGCCTTGGTACACGGACTTAGTATCCCTATCCATGACCCGGCCCTGGCGGATTCCCGACTCCAAGATCGCCCTCAAACAGGGAGCTCTGCAGCATCCGGACCCCACATGATATCACTTAACTGCTTGAAGATTGAGCGGTGCCTCCTGACAGAGGCCCGCATACCTGCACACGTCATCTCCACCAGCCAGGCTTCTCGTAGGGCATCTACAAATCGCATGTATGATGCTTCTTGGAGAACCTTTGTCACCTGGTGCCAGAGGTCACACATTGTGCCCATGGCAGCATCTATTCTTCATATCTTAGAGTTTCTACAGGATGGATTTGAAGCGGGCTTAGTCCCAATACACTTCGCCAACAAGTGGCCATTTCCTCAGTCTTGGCCTGCGGTTCTATCGATACTATTTCAAGGCACCCGGTTATCCAACACTTCTTGCGCGGCGCTTCTAACCTATGTCCGCCAGTTGTCCATCGCTATCCCACATGTAATCTGAACAGTCCTCAACACCTTAACATCTTCTCCGTTCGAACCACTTCACCTGGTTTCCCTACAGTTCCTCTCTTTCAAGGTGGCCTTTCTCATTGCTGTCATGTCGGCTCACCGCATCTTGGAGTTGGCTGCCCTGTCTGTCCGTCAGGACCTATGCATCTTTCATATCGAGAGGGTCGTGCTTCGGCTGGATCCCACCTTCCTACCGAAGGTGAACTCATCTTTTCACCATGCACAAGAACTTGTCCTTCCCAATTTCTGCCCACAGCTGAGCCATCGGTTGGAACGTTCCTGGCACACTCTTGACGTGCGGCGAGCCCTCAAAATTTACATTGCCAGGACCATGGCCCTACATAAGACAGAAGCTCTGTTCATTTCATTCCAACCGGCGTCCATTGGAACCAAGGTCACGGGGCCTACATTGGGAAGATGGATCAGAGCGACCATAACTACAGCTTACCAACGGCATGCTCTACTGGTCCCGCACAATATCACAGCGCACTCAACCAGAAGTGCGGCTACTTCAGCAGCTTGGGCCACGCAGGTCTCCCTGGAGGAGGTCTGCAGGGCAGCTATGTGGACTAGCCTGACTCCATTTATCCGCCACTACAAGGTGGACTCCTTTGCCTCAGTGGATGCGGCGTTCGGCCGTAGGGTGCTCCAGGCTGTCCATCTTAGCACAGGATCACAGGGCCTGGTAGTTCCCACCCTGTAGGACATGCAGCTTTCGTATGTCCCATGCCTGACTGCCGTTCCCACTGACATGGAGAATGGACGTTGGTCTTACCTGATACGTCCTTTCTCTGAGAGGGGGGAATGGCAGTCAGCCCTACCCTACAGGTTCCAGCCCTGGCTTCGAGGGGGGGCAGTAGGCACTAATTTTCTCTCTTTGCAGGAAGACACGTCAGTCTGCGTCAACATCCTCGCGGAAACACTGGAAGCTACCAGGAGAGAACGGAGCTAAAGAAATCAGCAGACTCAGTCCTATAGTTGTACAGACGAGTTAACCCATGCCTGACTGCCGTTCCCCCCTCTCAGAGAAAGGACGTATCAGGTAAGACCAACGTCCAATCTCAATGAACACTTCATCTTTAGATTAGTAGAGGGTATGCATTGCAACTATAAGCTGGTTAGAGGAAATAGATCCAAGAGAAAGTTTTATTATATTTTAGCATGCCATCTTCATTTATAAATTTATATTCAAGATTTATATACGTAAAGGATTCATTAATTTTTCCCTTGTTTTCATAGCTATAGTTCTACATACAGGAATCATAGAATAATATAAATTACTCTATTGCCATCATATTTTTATGTAGCATATGAAATTATTCATAAATAATAAACAGGCAAAAGGACTATATATATATATATGCATTTGGAGCTCGTGTTTCATTATTAGTTGTAGACTTCTTAGAAAAATTAAGATAAAATTTAATTAGCATCTATCTTATTGAGCAGAAACTACCTTGCTAATTTTTACTATTTGCAAATTTCAGGGTCAGGACTAGCAGGGAGTTTCATTCGTGTACTACCCCAAAAATAAGACCCAGTCTTATTTTCTTTTGGGCTCTGAAATAAAGCACTAGGGCTTATTTTCAGGGGATGTCTTGTTTTTTTCCCCCGTGTATGGGAGTCCCACTTCTGCTTGCTTGTGGTGGGGCAGGAGGCTATGTGGTGTGTCAGTGCCGCCACCTCAAGGCAGGGGGATTGAGTTGCCCTATGTGCCTCGCATTGGTTTACCTAAGGGCTCCTGCAGCCAAGCCACCCATGCCCTGATACCTGCCTCACCTCATGGCAGCAGCTCCAACAGCCCCATCCAGCAGGACCCTGCATGGCTGTTGACCCACTTCTGCTGCTTGTTCATAGCCAAAAAGGAGTAGGAGGCCGAGCAATGCACTGGTGCCATGGCCATGAGGCAGTTGTGGGGGCATGGATGGATTGGTTGCAGGGGTCCTGAGGTAAGCCGGTGCAGGGCGCATGGGGCAGCTCCACCCCCCTCTTGCCTCACCTTGTGCTGGCAGTACCACAAGCAACAAGACAGAATGGGCGGGTGGGCAGCTGTGCAGGTGCTTAAGTAGAGCTTATTTTTGGGGGGGGTAGGGCTTTTCAGGGAAATGGGTCTCTTCCTAAAATAGTTGGAAGTAATCTCTTGCATGACACAACAATATTCAAGTTTTCTTATCCTGGGGGATTTAACATGCATGCTGAGGTTACCTAATCAGGAATGTGTTATACTTTGTATGGTGGAGATAGCACCAAGTCAGTTCCACCATGTACAAATTCTTTTTAACAATAAAGGTTTTAAAAATAATTTAAATTAAAAAAAAAAAGGAATCGCTGAAAATTTCATATTTGCTATGACAACCTACACCAAATGTTATTTACCCTCATTCATGTAGTAGGCCAAGCATTGGACATGGTATTTTCTTTGGTTGGAGCTCGGGATCAGAAAATGGAGGAATTGTTTGTAACTCTGTTTTCATGGAAACACTAGAAGATTTTAAACTAGTCTACACAGATAGAAGATCAGCTAAAATGGTCTGACCTAGACTCCCAATAGATTCAGATAGTTTTCTGACTATGCTTGGAGGAATTCCTGCCTTTTATTGAGCAGAATTAGTTTCAGCCTATTCTGTCCTCCACAACAGTCCCAGTTTCTCATGTGGCCCCTTGGGAAAATTAATTGCCCATTTCTAGTTAAAGAGACCAGGCTAGTGATATTTTAATCTCTAGCATTGTTTTCATTGAGCTTTTAAAGCATTAATTTTAATATTTGTAATGTATTTAACTTTTAGTCATATTATTTGGTCTACATTTTGTATTATTGCTACTGTAAGCTGCTTGTACT